TGCCTGAGGCTGCACACTCAGTGAGGATCAATCTCATTACAATAGTCTACAAGATTAATTTATTACTTAATGACAAAGCAATCTGAGGTAATAACTATAGATACATTTTTAGAAAGAATGTATGACGTGTTCAGCAGAGGAGGGGGTATATTCAACAAAAAAGTATCAAAAATTACTTTTTCACTGCAAATTATTCATATCCAAATATTTTACAAAAAATTAGAGCCAATTACACAATACTTCAAACTCAGTTTAGGTTTATAGTTCATAACCATGAAATGAGGTAACATCAACTATAGATTTGTCTGTGGAATATCATTACATTGTTACATAATTATAGTGAAATCATTAAGGTTTTTTTTGTCAAAAGTATTTTAATTTTGATTGCATATTAATTTAAAATGATCCTTTTATACAGGCTTTAATTTTGAAATGGAATAAAATCATTCTAAATTTCAGAAATTTGCTATTGCTATCAAAATGACTGGAAGAAAATGATCTAAAAACAACAATGGAAAAGAGAGGTAACAAAGTGTAAATGAAATAGCTCCAGTTTGTTCAACTTAGCATTGCCGCCAAATGCTGCCAATAACAAAGGAGAAAATGAAAAATACCTAACAAATCAGATATAGCATCAAAATTTATATTTTTATTTATGCAGCTAAGTACATAACTGTCAACAACATTTCTGTAAAACTTGATATTTTCTGTAATAAATATCATTTTACTTAAATGTAAGGTAGTCCTACATTTACAATTCCTTACGACTGACCATGGAAAGAAATGTTGATCAAAATTGCCTAAAACCTTTAAGCACATATTGCCACAAAATTATAAAATGTTGAATATGTCCCTCCTCTGCTAAATGCATCATATACTGAAGACATTAATATTGTATAATTGATTGCTATTGTGATACTATGGAAACCCACATAGAAAAGGGTGAAGTGGTTTTATCTCAAGTATTTCTGTTTAAAGGCCAGCAGGTAGCTCTTTTTGAAGTCAAGTTTTCTAAGCAGCATCCATGTCAACTGAAGTGGGAATGGAGAAACAAAAGATTGGATGAGGAGTTTTGAAGATTAAATGAAAACAAAACAGGAAATAAGGATTACCAGGGTGTTGATCTATATTGACAGACATGCTTGAGATTGGAGTCAGTTTCTTGCCCATCTTGTGCTTCTGTTGCTGTCCATTCGTATTGCAAGCTACATATCAGGATCAATAGATGTGTAAGGAGTTGGTAAAAGAAAGAGATCCACAAGCAATTGTCCAGTGTCACCTGCCTACCCACCCAGATGAAGCCCCTGAATAGAACACATGCACATGATATGGGAAAACAGGATTCATGTTCTTATTCTTGACATGGCATTTGTCTTTCATCTTGTTAGAATGAAGTGAACCTTTCCAGTGCACACTCTTAAGATTTAAGAATTGAAATATGTCAGGTAATCATTGCACATGTTTACAGTATCAGCTAATTTTCAACTTTATTCATAATTAAATCCTTTACTCCCATATTTGTATAAATTAGTATATTTCAAACAAATTTAAAAAAGCTTAGAGACAGCAGTTTCAAAAAAAATAATTTAGATATATATGTGCATTTAGGATACATTTAATTTTAAAAATTGCTGAGTCCTGCAATCTCATTTTGTTTTATTGATGTTTCTGGTTTCATTGCTACCAAAAATATATCACTTGGTGATGTCTGATCTGCATGGTCATCACATGTTGACATCAAGAAACTAGGGGATAACCAAATTTCTCTGGGAATTTTACCTAGTGGTTGCTACAAATCTGTAGCAATTTCATGTATAAAAAAATCTATTGTTCTGATATATTTGTCTTTGCTGAAAACAGATTTCACAGTACAAACAATGAGATTGTCTGAGTCTCTCGCTCAAAAATTTAGTACCAAGAACATCTAATACCCTCCAAAAAGTTAAATAAAAATACACAAATAAAGTCAAAGGGTATCATGATGGATTGCTCTATTAAAGGGCAATACATAAATGAATTGACCCAATCTCAAAACACTCATGCTGCTGCAACTATATATTTCCTGGCAAGAAAAAGCAATATATTGACCATTATTCAAGGAGGAATGATAATCAAAAAATGTGATAATCTCTTGGGAAAATACTTTAGACATATGCAATCAAGTATACTTTATCAAGTATCAACATCTTTTGATATTCCTTCATATTTACATTCCATGAAATGATTACTTTTCTCTGTTGCTGTGATTCAGTATTTTTCAATTGAAACATTGTATTTGACAATATGCAAATTGAATGGGAATTTTTTTTCTAAGTAATACTAATTTAACTTCTCATTTTACTGTTATATTTAAGTGCAAAAATATTTTCTCAATAAAAATGTTACAGTTGTTAAAACTTCTACAAACTTCTTTGTCCAAAATATATAAAATATTTTTTAATATGTTGATTTGTTGTTTATCTTTAATTTGTGGATTAAACTGAGAATCAGAATTTTCAGTTACATAATTTTTAATGCACATGAAACTGGATCTAGAATATGTTTGAGATTATTTAGTGTAGTACTGTCTAATTCTTGTAATTGTATATTAATTATATATTTTCATGTGGTTAAGTATGCAGGAGTTAAATTGTTCACAACCAAAAAAGACTATTATTATTATTGTCCCATATTAAGGGGCATGTTTTGGCCAAAACACCATACCAGACCCTCAAGTCAGGAGCAATAATATTGTGTTCCTGAGAGTGTGAAAATGTGAATGTGCACATAAAAATATATTCCAGGTTCATAAAGTACCAGAAAATAAAAAGTAGACAACAATGCAAGTCCACATGTAATGACATGACTCATGTAAGATTTTGGCCAGAGACTTTTAAAAGATCTCAACATGCCATGTCTAGCTAAATGAAACAATTTTTAGCAAAATGGACAGAGATATTCAAAAATATTTTCAGCCCCAGGAAATTACATTTTTTTTTTGTGATAAAGTTGTGTTTGGGAATAAGTTGAACAGAAAAAGATGACACGACAGGTTACTGAAAGGTTAATTTGGGATTAAAATACCTTTATCTGTTTGAATTTTATACTAGCAGCAAACAAAAGCGATGCTACACTTGTGATGGAAAAGTTGGAATACTTCAAGAAATTAGCTAGCCTAGTTTGGAATGATAACTACAGCAAGGTGAAAAAGGATCCAACACCCCCTGCAAAAAACAAATAGAGACTGTCACTGATCTTAAAGATAAACTGTTTCACACTGAATAAATATAAACAGATCACTCAACATTATACTTAGTTGCCACCTCCAAGATTCACAAATTTGGTATTCTTTTGAGACCTATAGTCAGCTGCAGAGGCTATGTATGCATGTCACCGACTGAACAGATTATCCTGATATAGTCAACCTAACAGAAGTCCTCCTCATATGTGAAGAATTTGTAGTACTTTATAGAATCAATCTAAGGTGCTCCAATCCATAACAACAACTGGACAGAAACATGGATGTAGTGAGCCTGTTCACCAGGGTTCCTACAGATATTAGCTCAAAATTAATTAGAAGTAGAGCCATCTTGGAGAACATATCAACATTCTGATAGATGGAAATGTTGTTATTTTATGTACCCATAACATTCTTCCAACTAGGATGTAACATACCAGCAGAAGGAAGGTTTTGCTATCAGTTCACCATTGTCATCAGTAGATAGTACCAACAGATTCAGTGGAAACAAGGTAATCAATAACTTAGTAGTAGTAAATAAGAATACATCATTAAAAATTGACACTGAAACAATCTACACTATAGTTTAAATAAAGGTTTTAAGATCAAAATTCTGAGGATTATCCAGATTGACAGACAGCTGAAGAAAGCCAGAACAATAGCCAAAATGTTGTCATGCAAATAAATAGCCTTTTTTTGCTTGAAAATATTTAAAACAATGTACAACCCTAAAAAAAAAAAAAAAAAAGACTCAAAGCTGCAGAAACTAACATTGGCTTGGTGGAAGAGGAATTTTACTGCCAAATAATGTTTAATCAAACTCAATCCTGAGGAAGTTCATCTGTACCAGACAACTGCCAGTTTCAGACATTTCAGAACTCAAATGAGTTTCTCAACACTCTTTAAATCCCTGGTCTTTATTCTTACAAACTAAAAGTTGGGATGGCTATCATGCGTCTTAAAAATTCCAACCGTCCAAAACTGTACAATGGAAATTGCCTATGTTCATTCCAAAGACACCTATAATTCCAATAGAGTCACTTGAATTCAAGGGATTTTTTTTTTTTTTTTTTACTAATCAATCAATACAAAGCCCAAGAGCCACTCAAAGTAGATGGTTATTGTGTGGACTTGTATTAGCATAGGAAAGAACAAGCATTAGGACTATAAAGCGAAAGAAGACTAGAGGAACCAGAAATTATATATATATATATATATATATATATATACAAGCAAGTATATAATTGGTATATACGGAATGAATTCCAATAACCAACAATTACTATTCTTAAAAAGAGTGCTCAATACAGAGTAGAGCAGATATAATTATTTATTTAAAAAAAATTATAACATAAATATGTTATAAAATCACTACAAAAATAGCCATTTTGTTTCAACACCTTTGGTGTCTTATCAAGTGATGATTTTGAATGTAAAATAAATGGTTTTAAAAGTTTCAAATTAATTAATCCTTTTCAAGGGGATAACGTTGTTACAAAAGCTAGAATGACCAATCAAAATAAAAGTATAGGAAAATTCAAAAAGCTTGACAACAAAGTCATGTGTTATAATAGCTATTCAGATCTTTAAAATAGGGGTAATGTTAAAAAGGAATTTATCCTAACCAATAATTATTAAATTATATGATAAAATTTGATATTAAAATTAAAAGTAAAAATTACCAATTTTAAAATCCAAATTTAATCACTATATATATATATATATATATATATATATAAAATCATGATTGGCTCCTACAATAATCATTTGATGAAAGTTTTGTTTAGAACACTGCAGCAGTTAGCTTCTGTAAAATGTGTAGGCAAACAAACACATGAACACAGAGTGGATCAATAAGTTCATAGCTTCACACAGATAAATTATAGTTTTATTATAAGTATATAACTTGTTTTCAGTATGTAAACTCATTTCTTAATTACACTGTATCTCAGTAAAAATGGATCATGTTTCAACAACTGTTGGCAGTTCTGCTGGACTTTCAATAATTTGAATTATCATTTCACCATCTAAAACAGCAGTTGTTGTGGGGTCTGACGTATTAATTGTCTTACATTTATGAGAATCAAATAGTTTTCTATTATCAATAACAAAGCCACATTCCTGACATATATATAACTGCTTTTCAACAAGTGTCCCATAGTCTGGATCTGTTGTCTCAACTGATATCTCACTAACCTCTTGAACCGTACCATCTTCAGCAGTAGTGCTTACTATCTGAGAAATTTTTGCATCATTATTCTCAATATTATGAGTTTTCATGTGTGAATTGAGTGAGAATTTATACCTGGTTGAGTAGTCACAGTACATACACTTGTGAGGTGCTGCATAGCTATGTAGCAATATGTGCGACTCAAGAGAGTGTGACCCACGGAAAGACGTGCCACAAGTATGACAAAGGTTAAGACGATTTTTTAAATGTTTAGCTAAATGAGTTCGCAAGTTACTGTGATCATTGGTTGCAAAGTTACAAACATGACAAACAAATGGCTTTAACCCTGAATGCTTCAAGACATGCTCTTTAAGGTTCTTCTTCCATGCTGTTCTAAAATCACAAAGATCACACTTGTAGCACCTCTCTCCAGTGTGTATTCGAAAGTGGTGTTCCAAATCTCTTGGAGAACCAGTACGGTAATCACACTCTTTGCAACATAGTGGCTTCGCAGGGTTTCCACTACACTTGTGACTTTCTACCGCCTCTGAAGATTTAAACCCAAGTTGGCATTGTGGGCACCTATATGGACGTTGCACCATCCTGCAGGCAAAATCCTGGTGAAACTTGAGTGTTAATTGAGTTGCAAATGTCTTGAAGCAATCTTTGCACTGATTAGGTTTCACTTCTTTGCCCAACTTATGGAGTTGCTTCTCATGCCGTTGTAGATGGTGGGGATGGAAAAAGGCAGCTGAACAGAAGTGGCATTTATATCGACGCTCTTCTGCAATAAATAGGACAAGAAAAATAATTAATAATTATTCAATTTAATGATGACTTTCATTTTTAAGTTAAAGAATTTTTTAAATCAAACATTTAATTTTACAAGTATTTTTGCTTTGTTTTTTCTAGAGTATAAAAAAAATAGACCAAATGGACTCTTGTAATCTAAATTTAACATTGGATTAATATTAACTTATAAAAATCAGAATGTGGAATTGATAAATTCTAAATACCTTAAATATCTCAATGTCTGGAACAGTTAACAAAAAAAAAAAAAATAAAAAATTTGATTAGGAGTTAAAGAAATTGGACAAAGGATAACTTGTACTAGAGGTACTTTTGTCTAGCATAATTTGTTACTTTTGTCTCGCAACTATAGGTTGTGACCATAATTGGGATTGAGAAAAGTAAATTCAAACACTTTAATTTCAGTTTGTTATTTCACAAACACGCAATATTTAATGTGATGTGCCAGGCAAGCACTGTGGTAATAAAACGTGTGGTGCCATTGTGACTAGTGCAGTGACAATAGATGTCTTTTCAGTGTAGTTGGTTAACACCTGGAGTTGGGAGAAATCTCATGAAAAATGGGATCATGAATGGAAAAAGTTTAAAAAGCACTGGTTTAGCACAATAAGAGATTACAAAAATATAAACTATTGACCTGAAAACTAAAGTCATGTCACTCAAAATCTTGTCAGATCTAGATTTTTATACTGATGTCATACAGGATGTCAAACTAATGTCTAAACTATCTGTATACAATTGTTCTCAGGTAAGTGATTAAAAAAAAAAAAAAACACACACAGACACACAACTTCAAATGAGTTCTTATAAATCTTGAAGATTAGTTTCAATAAATCCTACATACTGGAACTACAAAATCAAAGAACAAAAACATCACTTAAAAACTTCTAACAATAAAAATAGATAGTACACATAACTATAAAAATAATGATCACAATCACAAATATGAGGGCAAGAGCCCCAAGTTCCCAGAATGTGGAGCTAACATATAATTCTAGAAAAAGCTAGGTAACTTTGTTTTATAAACTTTAGCACACTGTATTATTAATATTACTTCCTTTTCTACTGCTTTCTTTTTCAAGGCCTCTCAATTGCAGTATCATTACTGTTAATTTCATTCAAAATTGATTTCTATTGCCATAGCAGGATATAACAACAACTGTGAAAGTCTACTCAAATTTTATCCATGGATTGGAAGAATTTGGCAAGATAGGTATACTAGTTGAATTATGTTGAATTTTTGTCTGCAAGATTTGAATTCATATTTTTTGTTTAAGTTTGTGTTGTTAGATTTGATCTTCTCTCAGTGGTAAGCTTGAAGCTCATGAAGTTAATAGTTAAGAAAAGCTTTCTGAAGAAAGAGGGTTTAAATTTTGTTGAGAGTTTATTTCCAATATGTACGGTTTACTAAACACCATTAAAAAAAAAAAAAAAAAAAAAAAAAAATCAATGAAAAATTAAAATTAAGATGAAAGAAAATGTTAATTAATAATGCTTGAGGATACTACTACTACTACTACTACTTCTGTTAAATGAATCCAGTGAAATTAAAAGGAAAGAAATTTCAGTCAAAAATTAAATTAACCTTTTTTCATTATGACTTAAGAGTCCAGTGTAATCTATGTCTATATTCTTTAGGATAAGCCTCTGCTGAGATTTTGACATATCGCAGCATTGTTGGGGATCTGCATTTCCTTACCAATTAGGTCATAAAGACCAACCAGGAGTCATTCAAATTTAGCCACATAGATATAATCTTGACTTCTCTAATCACATGTTGTTTAAATGGTATACTAGTGTACACTTTGATGTAATAGTGTTAAAATTTCTTAGATGAAGCATTATCAATTATTTTATGGATATTTGTTTCATTCTAATTTCTGGGTTTGTTTCTTTTTCTTTTTTTAGCAAAATTCCCAGATTACGATTTTACAAACACTAAGAGTAAGCAAGACAAATAGAAAATAATAAACTTTCAATAACAGCACATTACTGATTAGACCATGAAGTAATAACCACTGAAATCTAGCCATATAGCTAGGTTCTTTCCTTTTGAAGGTCATGAAAATTATTATAAATTAAAATAAAATACATGTTTAATATTAATAATTGATGATGCTTCCTCTGAGAACTGTATTAATTCACTGATATTACCAAAATCTGCATCCTGGATCCGAGTTAACCAAACATCATTCCTCCTTTTTCGTTTCTGTTCTCCACCTGAATTTGATTTCTGGTTATTTTTTCTTTTCCGGTTCTCAACTTCTGTTGACTCCAAATTTGGAACTACAAACCCTTCATTGCTGCCAACTTGCTCAGGCAATGACTGGACACTCTTTTCACCCATCTCTAAAATTTTCTCTGCATCCAGAGCAGAAGGGCTTGGTAGATGTGGGCTTGGTTCAGGAACAATTTCTATACTGGTTGCCTGATTAAGATTTTCATTAATCAACTGACTTTCAATATTGATAGTTCCTTCTACATGCCCAATATCACTTGTATCAATACACACATCTGTCAATTGTGTATCTACACATTCCTGGGTATCTTGGTCTCCTGTTGCTACAATATTCACAGTTGTATGGTCATCTGCTTGATAGTCCTGCAAACTAATGAGAACTTTGGCTGTTTCACCACTTTCTTGGTCAACTAGCCTGGCTTGATGGTCATTCAGGCCACAAGTGGACTCAACAATGGCTAAATTATCTGCTGTATACTGCTTTGAAGTTACAGGAAAATTATCACATCTGTTTGCAATATCAGACTCGTTTGTGGTGGTGGTGGTAGATTCTAGTTCTTGAACTTCAATGTTCACCTTGTCTGTAATGCCTACAAACTCCAAGTACTCATTTTTTAATTGAAGCTTATTTCTGGAGAGGGAAAAAAAGAAAAAGCCAATTAGTTTATGGGTAATAATACATTTGCTTTGTTGCAGACAGATATAAAATATGACATTTCAATTTAAAACTGAATTGGCCACAAAGTGGTTTGGATGTTTGTACTTAAAAATATCAGAAAAGAAAAGGATAATTCTTTGTATTTATTACAACAAATTTGATAATTAATCTTCAAATCCTAAGAATATAGTTTAGATGTAAATCTCATTTAAAAACTATAATTCAAGTAAATTAATTTATATTTTATTTCAGTGTAGATTGAAGGATTTATTTTTATAGCTTGTCAAAAAAAATATAACTCACATGTATTTTCCAATTATAATGTTGGAAAATACAAGTGAGCACTAGGAAACAACATTTCACATTCTTGTAAACATCTACAATCAATGTAAATTTTATAAAGATGTATAAATAGGTTTACAACAGCAGAAGAGTTAACAGGGGAAAAATTAAGTTTATTATGAGTTAGTTTACTTAGGAGAAAAAAAATAAAGAGTTTTGCTATTGTACTCGTTATATTTTATGCAAAAGTAATCTAGGATTTTTTAAGTCTGAGTTGTAAGAGGTTTGCTTTTAAGACAAAAATAAGAGCTAACACAAAAGAAATATAAAATCTATTAGAAGCTTGGTTTCATTGTCATCATCCCCTTGACTTTTGTAATCGTTGGTGGTGGTGGGGGACCCAAATGCAGAAGCCAGACTTAATCTCATCCACAATAGTCTATCAACAACAGCTATCAGCAATTCTGGTATAGTCATACCTCTCCATTGTTTGGCATTGTTCAAGTTTTTGCATTGGCGTCCTCTACATCCACCTTCAACGGTACCTTGCATGATGGTCTTGCATAGGCTGTCATGCTTTATAACATGTCCAAACCACGCCATTTTTCTGTTTGACAGTAGCAAGAAGAGGTTACTGGTGACCCATGAAAGTTTCAACTCTTTTCCACAAACTCATTGGTTTTATGTTCCAATAGAAGATGCCAAGGAGTTTTCTCATGCATTTGTTCTCAAATGCTTGGATTCTTCTCTCTGTTTCTGCCAACAGTGTCCACGTTTCACATCCATATAGGAGAATGGAGAATATCAGTAATTTGCATAGTCCGTACTTGGTTTCACCTACTTACTAATGATATATTGTATTGTTAAGTGTATCCACTTATTACTGAAAAAATAATGCCTCCTGTTAAAATGATAGTGAAATACCTCAGTAAGTAGGGAGAATCAGGTTGCACATCTACTAAATATACACAAGTAAAATTGTTTTATATTTTTGAATAGATGATAGCAAGATAAATTTTAGTACAGATTCTTAAAATTGAGAAGAACAAGAATTTTTTCTTTCCTCTACAGAAGTCTGTGATGATATCAAATGAAATCTTCAAATACTTCTCCACATCTCTTAACTATTTCCTTTATAGGTTTTAGGTCAATAATTATGGCTTTGTGCTAGACTAAGTAAAATTTAGGGAATGTTTATTTAAGCATAATTATCTACATAGAATTATCCTTAGTGTTGGAAACCTTAAGCACACTTGGAGAAAAAAAAAAAAAAAAAAAAAAAAATTGCATATTGACAAAAAACAAATGGTCTTCACATAACTTAATGGTGGTATTATTACCTATACCAAGTATCTAGTTGGTCAGGTCTCATCTGGCTACTAAGCAACACAAGTGTTTATAAATGTTAAATTTAGTATTTGTCACATCTAACAATCAATTAGAACTTACTTTTCATGTAACTTGAAAAAGAACTCCAGCAAGCTGTTGTCTTCAAGGCCCATTTCTTCACGAATGGACTGGAATTTTTCAGCATTTTCTTTTGTGAAGATAAAAGAAACAAATTCTTGGCTTCCCATTTTTTCTAAGTTACCTCTTCCACCACCACTACTTCCTGTTATATTTCACTTGGGGTGTTTCCTTCAAATAAAATAAGTTTGTACTGTAGGGACATTATAATTAAAAATAGAACAGTAACATTAAAACTTTGTATAAAATAAATTAAATAAAAAATAAAAAGTCCTCCCAGCATGCAACAGAAACTGTTCCTGCTGTAAATATGGACATCCCATCCAAAAACATTAAATCCAATCTCTTCACTATGAATGGGCAACATGTGTCCCACCTTCTGTGACATTGTGCGTGATAATATGTAGTGACTTCTCACTTTTATCACATGTAACCATGAAACATTAGTAATAAAAAAATACACACACACAATTAAAAAAATTGAACATACAATTTAACATGCATTTACTGTTATTTCTGTATATTTATTTCCTGTGAACACTAGGCTATTTCTACTGCTATGATTGCTAACCCTGATGGGATATTAAAAAAAAAACAAAAAAAAACACACAAACAAGCAAAGTAGAAAAAAACATAAGCATTTCTTCTTTATCCACATCTTTTTTTATTTACACACACTAACTTCAGTTAAAATTCCAGAAAAACACCTTTGAATGGCTGGTTTGCAATATATGAAATGTTTGCTAATCTGTACAACCTTATACCATACCCCCCCAGACAAATGTAATAATAGAGTGCCAGCATAAGAAAAAAAAAACTATAATGGAACCAACCAACCAACTGGAATGTATCTATCACTGTCACCACAAATAGAATATAACAGTTCTACCATTACCAAAAAACACTAAGCAATTTCATGGAGGATGATTAAGCTGAACATATCACTCCTTCATGAAGGGTCGTTACACTCAGCTAAGCAATCCTTACTCTGGACACAATACCAGACATGAAAAATACTTTATAATAGAGAATTCCTCAGGAAAACACTTCACACTCACCACTGAGACATTACAAAACCACAGTAAGAAACATGCAATAAAATTACTAGCTGACCACTCAAAACAAACTACTGACCACTCAAAGACAACAACATGCTCCAGGAGAAGAGTTCATCTCTCCAAAAACAAGGATTACTTTTACTTCAAATAAGTATCCATCACTACAGACTACAGGCTCCATTAATTTGGTGGGGGATGTGATGTAGCATTATGAATAAAATAAAACAGTAACATTAAAACTTTGTAAAAAATGAATTAAATAAGAATAAGTTCTCCCAGCATGCAACAGAAACTGCTATTTCTGCTATGATGTGAGTGACCCCAATTAGAACTTAAAAGGTTTAAAAATTAGTAATGTTTAACAAGGTCATCATTTCAAAACAAGAAATGTTTCATTTATGTAATCTGAGGTAAGTAAAAATTGAAATGTATTATAAAATTATTATACCTCAATTCTACTGGACCATTTTCCTTATATTTTGTTGTCTTTATTATACTGTTTTAGTCATTGTATCCCCAAAGAGGATGTCACATTTGCTAACCTTGGAGAGGGGAAAAAAACTAATTGGAGTTTCTTTTTCCCAGATTCAGATAAGACATTTAGCCATCTTGACACCATTTCTCATAAGAATCACTGAAAAACCCTTTGAGTTATTCAGCTAGAAAGAGAACAAGTTAAAATCATTTTGTGTCAGTTCCAGTGTTCCCAACTAAGCAATGGTGAGAGGAAAAAAAAAAGATCATTCAGGCCTTCAGTGATGATAGAAACATTCATACTCTGGCTTCTATCTTCAAAGTCCATTCAAGAACCATCAAGAGAATGGTGAATAAGTTTGAAAAAAAAAAAAAAAAAAAAGTAGTGAGGAATAGTGGATTAGGAGATTACAACAGAAAAAGTGAACATCATTTCAACTTGGAGCTAAAGAGATCAATTGGAAAAGATCCAACTCAATAGTTTCAGCTATGACAGTCCAAAGAGCAGTGAAAAAATGACTTGGAAAATGAGATCGTACATGAAACCTGAGACGCCTTGTTACACCAGGGCAGAAAGTTAGGTTAGAGAGGGCAAAGATCATCTGGAATAAATTGGAAAATGAACCTGAAATAATAAATATATATTTGAACTTTATTCCAATCCTTCATGAGCTTACAGCCACTAACTGTAGTTAATTAATGAAGAATATGTAAATTTCATTTATGATTGAATTCATCATGAGTCTTCTGTTAAGCTTGGAGAATAATTATACATTCTTATTGCCCAAATTAGAGTCAGTCAGATATACAGACAGATGCCAATAATTAAGTAAAAATTAGAAAACTAAAAAATGGTAAAAAAAAAAAAAAAAAAAAAAAAAATCATCAACTGAATGTTGTACAGTCTAGTGGTAAAAGTATCAGTAATCTAAAAATTGTAAGGTCACTTCTGAAACCAATGAGTGATATATAATTCTAATTTTATTAAATTATAATTATTATAATCTTATTAAAGAGATCAACATAAATAACTGACAGATACAAGTTCTGAAATTCTTTATGTAAGATGCTAAACATAAATATATAGAAACAATTATGGAATACTGTTAAGTAAAACAATCTGTAATATTTTCAGTAGGCTACTGATATATATGGAAAGTCAGAGAGCAAAGTAGCCAGTACGTTATAATAAAAATGAGAAAACTAGTTAGCAAGTAACAATACATCACTGATATTAAGTGAAAAATTGTAATATTTAAGATTTGAGAATTTAATTTTATGCATTTCTTCATTGAAATAAAAGAAACATTTCAATAGCACTATATATTTTACCATAAAGCACTATTTACTACGTCTATCTTGTAATAGTTACTTTTTGTGAAGAAAATGTGTACACAATTATATATTAAAAAAAGAAAAAAGAAAGAGAACAATGAGTTACAACTAGTTATTTCAACAGTAAAACTATTAGAAATAGTTACTGATCTAGTAATATGCTTAAATTCATGTAGTTACAGTAGCAAGGAGGAGAATTCAGAATAACTCATGATACTATAGAAAAGACAGAGGTATAAAAATGATTGAAGATGTCAGGTCAGATAACATTATAGACCCTTCTTTGGATTTTGTCTGGAATATAGCAGGAGCACAAACCCAGATATGGCAGCAATATTCAATGCAAAGATGAATGGACACATGTACAAGATGGATTGTCTAGCACAATTCCATGAGCCAAATTTTCTTATGAAAGGTTATCTTTATGAAAAGGAAAAAAAAGAAAACTAAAAGACCAATAACCTGTGTACTCAATAGTTTTAATATATGCATTATTGGGTTTTGCTCAACAACAATGTTAGGTTATTGGATTTAATATTTTATCCCTGCTCTTTATTTTTAATCCAGAAAAATCTACAAATCTTATACAAATCGTCTTCAAAACAAATGTCTGATCAAGCATGTGAGTAAATGTTTTCACATTTGCTAGTTAGAAGAATTTATAATTTTTTTTTTTTTATCAGGAAGGAAATAATAGAGTGACTCAAATTTTTTTTTAATTGCTTTTTAAATGAAAATTATATATCTATATTTCTTAAAATACATTTATAAAATGCAACGGTAGAGGTCATCAGTGGCGCCATTACAGATTTCTGTTATTGCAACATCAGATCCATTCTGCCAGGTATGCTGACCTGTTAACAGGCTGCCTCTCTGCATAATTCATTTCACAATGAGATAACAGAAAATGTATTAATAATCAGGAGATAGATCTTTTATAATGGCAACAAGACTTGCATTAGACAATCAGAATTTGCTTGTCTGCTGTCTATAGAGGTATAAAAACAAAGGCGTGACATGCACATGCTTTCTAGATTTGCCTCTCCTGCACATGCGCCAACATTATGGTAAGTCTTTCTTTTACATTTACTCACAGAAAAAAAAAAAGTATTAATTTTCCTAATACGCTGTTTAATTCCCCGTGGAATCAAATCCTGTTTTATGTTCTCACCTTTATATCCTTGCATTCACTAACCTAAGAAAAAGAAAAAATACAATACAGTAAATTGAACCTGTTCATGAATGGCATTCTGTAGGCCTTTATGGTTACAAAGAGTCAAAATCAACAGGGTGATATTGCACTCGGTTAACATTAAAACTGAAGGCTTCATGGGTTTGAAAGCCATTTGATGCTAACTTTTCTTGGTAAAGAAAACAATGTAAAAAAAAAAATTAATTCTTCTAATCAGTTGGTTCACCTATGGCCCCTCACCAGCTAAATTCTAACTGCAATGTTAAAAAAAAAAAAAAAAAAAAAATGTTTCATTCAACAAATGGACTTATTCATTCTTTAATCCACGGGTCATTCCTTTTCAGCAAAATCCACTGGGATCCTTCTTCAGCTGCATCTGAATTTTCTTTCAGTACTTTCTTTTTTTTTTTTGCGGCTCTGATGATTCCAATTTCCACTCAGTGAGTGTCCCACAATTTTTTGCTCAGTGAGTGTCCCACAAAACCTCTGCACCCCATTTCTATCAAATCAAAGTAAATTTTCCAACCATTTTGCTGGCACCTTTCGACCAATTCCTGGTATTTCTTACACTTTCTTTCATTGGCCAACATGACGTTTTTTCCCAAGCATCTGATAATTCCCAAATTATTAACTTCTTTGTGCCACAGTATCTGTCTATATTTCTGAGATAAGGTATTATGTATGCTATTTACATTGTTTGGACTATCATCCTTATCTTTGTTGCCATATTTATTACGTTTCCAATAGATAATCTGATGGAGATAACTTTCTGTACACAAACAACACACTTCAGAATGGGATCACACGTATATTGACAGGATGAGGGTTTAGCAATAGCGAATATATACAGGGAATATTTTGATGAAATGGTGTTAGAATCTATATCTCTAAGGCCAAATATATGGTTAAGGTACATAGATGACACCTTCATACTCTGACCACACCAGGAAGATGTTCAGGCACTACTGGACCATGTGAACTCAATAAGACCTTTGATACAGTTCACAATGGAGAAACAGAGTAGCAACACACTCCCATTCCTGGATATTTGGATATCTCGAACAGAGCATGGATTCAAAACATCTGTATACCGCAAACCAACACAGTACCCC